CCGTCCTGACTGGTAACCATTGATGGCTTTATTCTTGTCTTGTTATTTAGTCATGTCCGACTCTTCGTGACCCCATGGACCAGAGCACGCCAGGCCCCCGTCTTCCACTGCCTCCCGGAGTTTGGTCAAATTCATGTTGGTCGCTTCGATGACATTGTATTGTCTAATCCCCCTTAAAAGCCATGCAAGCTAGCAACCACCAATATACCTTGTGGCAGTGAATTCCACCATTTTAACTATGCATTGTGTGAATACTTTATTTCTATCCTGGCTCTCCCATCATTCAGACTCGGGGTATGACCTCTTCTCCTAAAGTTATGAGAGTGGGAGAAAAGCTTCTCCCCATCTCTCACCATTGATTATGCTGGCTGGGGCTGACTGGAGTTGTATTCCAGCAATATCTGGAGGGCTATATGTTGACCACCATTGTCTGAAGCTTTCCATTCAACAATGGTTTTCACCTGTTTCCATTAGCAAGTGATAATGTTTTGCCCTATCCCAGCAGGAAGCACCACCTCTGATATTATATGCAGTACTGTATCTGAACCATAGAGGAGCAGGGTGAGCTGAGTGTTTTATTTACCGGGGTTTCGGCAATCGTAAAGGACATAGAATGACAGCTCAGTGTTTCAGGACATGTCCCAGAGTGGCTTTTCTTATGCATTCGTCCTGTCTCTTTCATGGGATTCCGGCAGGAGGACTGCACTGTTTTCATGGCTTTGGACCAGTGCGTCTTAAATGTGCCCACCCATGTTTTCTTTTGGTTTCATGCATCTTTTTCTCTTACAATAGGAAGTCCCATGAAGGAAGACAGAGAATAAACTGCATAATTCCCTTTTGTGCACTATGAGAAAGCTGCTGTCTAGAAGCCATTCACTGGGGTTTCCTTGTGGCTGCTGGTACTTTTTCTCGTTTTTTTCCACACAAAAAATCTGCTAAGGAAACCAAACGGATTTGTTGCACCATCTCTTTGGATAAAGTTGCACTAAGAGCTGCTGGTCTAGAAGCACAAATAGGATGATGGTAAAACAGGGAGCAGAGGTTCTATTCCCAATCATGCAATGGTGGAAACCTAGCCATTACTTACTGTGGCTAGTGTGGCAAAAAACAGTACCAAATTGAAAAAGCAGAGGTGAGAAAGGGTTTGACAAATTCACATACAGTGGTGCCTCACTTAACGATGATAATCAGTTCCTGGAAAATCGCCGTTAAGCAAAAACATCGTAATGCAAAAAAACCAAACAAACAAACACAATTGAAATCCCTTCAATGCGTTCCAATGGGGTCAAAATTCACCGTCCAGCAAAGACCCTCTATAGGGCAGCCATTTTCGCTGCCTGTCTTGCGAGGAATCCGTTCCAGAAAACTGCTGGGAGTCATTCTGTTTGCCCGGCTGCCATTTTGAAACCGCCGATCAAACATCGTAATGCAAAAAAACCAAACAAACAAACACAATTGAAATCCCTTCAATGCGTTCCAATGGGGTCAAAATTCACCGTCCAGCAAAGACCCTCTATAGGGCAGCCATTTTCGCTGCCTGTCTTGCGAGGAATCCGTTCCAGAAAACTGCTGGGAGTCATTCTGTTTGCCCGGCTGCCATTTTGAAACCGCCGATCAGCTGTTTAAAGTTTGCCCGGTTGCCATTTTGAAACCGCCAATCAGCTGTTTAAAAAACGTTGTTTTGCGAAGCAGGGAACCGATCATCGCAAAGCGAAAAAAACCCATTTAGACCATCGTTCTGTGATTGCAAAAAGATCGTTGTAATGTGGGGCAATCGTAAAGCGAGGCACGACTGTACATGACATGCACAATCTATTTTAGGAAAACAATATGTTTTCTTTAAGACTATCAGCAGCCATTAGTTTTTTAAAAGTAGATGACCACAACTGGGAATTTCTTATTAGGCTTTGTTTATGCCCAGTGCTTAAAACATGCACAATCTATTTTAGGAATACAATATGTTTTCTTTTAAGACTATCATCAGCCATTAGTTTTTTTTAAAAAGATGACCACACCTGGGAATTTCTCATTAGGCTTTGTTTATGCCCAGTGCTTAAACCTCAAATGGTAGCTGACCTTCCTTTGAAATTCAATATCTTTTTAAGACGGCCATGTGACAGTCTTTTAAATATTTGAAGAGTTATAATACCACATTACAGCAGTACAACAATGGAACCAATTACCTCAAGAGGCGGTGAGTGCTCCAACACCGGAGGCATTCAAGAGAAAACTAAACAACCATCTATCAGATATGCTTTATTTGGGTTCCTGCCTTGATCGGGGGTTAGCCTCAATGGCCTTATAGGCCCCTTCCAATTCAGTTTTACTATGATGCACCTTACTATCTTGATCACACTGCTCTGGACATATTCCACCTTGTCAATATCCTTCTTTAACCATGGTGCTGAGAACTGGACACAGTAGATGAAATCTAACCAAAGCAGAATAGAGTGGTACTGTACCTCCCTTCATCTGGCTTGACGTGCAGAAACTAAATGGATGAAATGACATGAGCAAGGTGGAGACACCCTTATTTGCTTAACTTCAGGGTAGTCAAATAGATATACACAGACTGAAATTCCATGTATATATAATTAGCAACAAGTGTAGCTCTAAGGAGGCCTTTAAGAAGAGGTCAGCAAATGTGTTTATTACCCGCTAACAAAGTAATGACTTCTAAAACTAGTTTAGACACTTGTTAAAGTCCCAAAGTGCAGGGTTTGTAACTTAAGAATGCACAATTTATTTTTACAGATTTTGTTAATATAGGCATGCTTACACAGCAAAGGTTCATGTGGCATGTTGTTTGTTGTTGTTTAGCTGTTAAGTCATGTCCGACTCTTCATGACCCCCATGGATCAGAGCACACCAGGCCCTTCTGTCTTCCACTGCCTCTCGAAGTTGGGTCAAATTCATGTTGGTAGCTTCGGTGACACTGTCCAACCATCTCGTCCTCTGTCATTCCCTTCTCTTCTTGCCTTCACACTTTCCCAACATCAGGGTCTTTTCCAGGGAGTCTTCTCTTCTCATGAGATGGCCAAAGTATTGGAGCCTCAGCTTCAGGATCTGTCCTTCCAGTGAGCACTCAGGGTTGATTTCCTTCAAAATGGATAGGTTTGTTCTCTTTGCAGTCCAGGGGAGTGTCAGGTGTCTCCTCCAGTACCACAATTCAAAAGCATCAATTCAATGATGGACAGGTCATAGTGGAGCGTTCTGACTAAACGTGATCCACCTGGAGCAGGAACTGGCAAGCCACTCTAGTATCTTTGCCAAGAAAACTCAATGAACAGAAACAAAAGGCATCTTGCTACTTGCTGTCAATTCACTTCTGACTTACACTGATCCTATGAATTATTGCCCTCCAACAGGTCTGCTCACTGGTAACCAACTGAAGGATGCGGCTTCCTTTACTGAGCCAATTCATGTCATTGTAGGTTTTCCCATTTCCTACTACATTCATTTTTAACCAACATTATGGTCTTTGCCCATGAGACTCTGCTTCTAATGATATGTTAAAAATAAGACAGTCTCATTTAGTCATTTTAGTTTCCTGTGAGATTTCAGGCTTGATTTGATCTAGATCCACTGTACCCTTTTAAGCTTCTATCTACCTTTCATTCACTTGGCAGAATAAGGGAAAGGACTAAGAATCATAGAACTGTAGAGTTGGAAAGGACCCCAACGGTCACCGAGTCCAGATTCCTACCACTGCAGGATCTCTGCAGCTGAAACCCCTCACGGGCAGCCATCCAACATCTGCTTAAAAATCTCCTCTGAAGGAGAGTTCACCACCTTCTGAGGCAGGTGATTCCATTGTCAAATGGCTCTCATGGCTGAAAAGTTCTGCTTAATACTTAGTCAAAATCTCCTTTCTTCTAATGTGAATTTGTGACTTCTGGTCCTCTTCTCCCAAGCAGAAAAAAAAAGCCCTTTCCATCTTCCATGTGATAGCCTTTCAAATACTGTACTGTTTCACTTCACAGCCTTTCTCTGCTCCAGGCTAAACATGCCAAGTTGCCTCAATCTTTCCTCACAGAGCTTGGGTTTCGAAGCCTCTTATCATTCCGATTGCCTGCCGAAAACAGGCACAGCTGCCCGAAAACGCTGTGGGCGGCCATTTTGTTGACCCAGCGGCCATTTTGAAACCACCAATCAGCTGTTTGTAAAACATCGCAATGCGAAGATCGGTAAAGCAATGCAATGTTTTCCCTATCTAAAACATCGCAATGCAATTGCATTAGCGATCGTAAAAAACGTGTCACTATGCGGATTCATCGTTAAACGGTGCGCTCGTTAAGTGAGGCACCACTTTATTATTGTTCCACTTCACAGCCTTTCTCTGCTCCAGGCTAAACACACCAAGTTGCCTCAATCTTTCCTCACAGAGCTTGGTTTCCAAGCCTCTTATCATTCCGATTGCCTGCCGAAAACAGGCACAGCTGCCCAAAGGCCCAAGGAGATGTATGGTTTCCATACACAGGATTTTCCCAATTTGTCTGGCACCTCTAAAGTTTTATGCAGTTCAGGGTGGCACACCCTGGAGTCATCTCATGAATGGTGGAAAATGTAGGAGAAATAGCGGGAAAGACATATTTCTATCACCCTGTACAGATGGAAATCACTGCCATAAGATGTAGATGTGTCTGAATATTGATGTAGATAAAGGTGTCCTAGGAAAAGGTTACTCTCCTACAAAAGCCTTGACTAGAGCATGCTTTAGGAAATGGCCATGAAGTGTGGCCTGGCAGCACATTCCCATACAAGGTAACCATTTTGTGGAAGGGCTTATTAGTTTCATAACACATTTCTAGATGCACAAGATTCTAATAGAGCCCCTTGGGCTCATCATGACAACACTATGTCATCATTTACCACAACGATTCTCAATAGGGGCCATATGCCCCCCCTGGCACATCTGATGGGGGCCACAGACTGGAAACAATTCTTCACACACCACCTTATAAGGTTCGTTACATGACTTATATGGCCTACTGTATATTTCTTTCATATTATGGCAAAAAAAGGTTGATAATTGCTGGTTTGCAGGATAAAATCATTAGGATTAATCGTCACCCCCTCCAAAGGCCTCAGCAAAAGCAAGATTAACTGCATTTTAAACATGCTTCCTCAAAACCTTCTAAACAAAATAGTTCTTTTTTTAAGGAAGAAATATTTTTTTTAAAGCACACATATCCATACAGGAAAGAGGAGCAAAACTCTTCTCTTCTTCTGTCACTGCCCACTTCATTAGCTCTACGAAACCTCTACTACAGTCAATTATATCCCAACACTTTCTAACTCATACTATTTTGTTTCAGTCCAATTACTTCGGATTTATTTTGATACGAGCATGCCAGCTCTGGTGAGCAATGAGTGCTGATTTTTGAGTGAAGCTTCTCCCACACTCAGTACAACCGTAGGGCTTCTCTCCTGTGTGGGTTCTAATATGCTGAGTAAGAAATGAGCTCACCCTAAAGCTTCGCTCACATTTGGGGCATTTGTACGGCTTCTCTCCTGTGTGGCTCCTTTGATGCGTAGTCAGGTTTGAGCGCTGACTAAAACTCTTCCCACAGCTGTTACAGGCAAACGGCTTCTCCCCTGTGTGGACGCGTTTGTGTGTGATGAGGTCTGGCTTGTAAACAAAACTCTTCTCACAATCCAGACACTGAAAAGGCTTTTCCTTCAAGTGGATTTTCCGATGTCTACTAAGGGTCGAGGTGGCACCATACCGTTTCCCACATTCAGGACACTGGTAAGGTTTCAAGCCTGTGTGGATTCTCTGGTGAATACTGAGCCTCTTAATATCTGTGAAACATTTCTCGCACTCCAGACATTTATACCGCTTGTCTGTTGAACGGATCTGCTGGAGTTCAACAAGATCTGAGCTTCCCAGAAGGGTTTCCCCAGGGTTGGGGCATTTTAAGGATTTCTTACCCATCTGATCTCCCTTTGACAGTTGCTCTAGCCACCAAATTGTTCCACACAGTGGTAAGATTAATTCTCTTTCAGGTTCCTTGATATGGAATTAACAGACAATGTCATGTGAAAAGGTTTCTTTAGATACAGAATAGTGAGCAGTTGATGGATAATGAGATGGTGTTCTTCCAGCTTTTATTCTGAGCATTACTTTGCCATCTTTTTAGTTAGCCATTAAGTCTTATGTCTCTTATTCTAGTCTCTTAAATCTTGTTATTTCTCTCTCTCTCTCTCCAAAAGTGGATAGAACAGCTGCCAAAGCAAAGGAGTAAGGATCTATTACCTTCTCCTCTCCATTAACCTGCCAAGACAAAGACACAGAGTTCAGACACGAGACATTCTCTGCAATGATGCAAAAAGTCAACTGAAAACATCAGCGGTCAGTATTCACTACAGATTCCTCACTCCAGGATGTAGAACTGCATCCTAAGTCTACATATGAACAGCCAAAATAAATGGGTATTTACTCCATTTATATATGTTGCCTTTCTCCCAGAACTGGGATGTAAGGTGATTTGCAAGATTAAAAGCAAGAGAGGCAGCTGCATCTGTCTGTCCAATCAGGAGCTAAACAAAAATAAAAGTACTGTGGGACCTTTAAATGTTAACAAATTTATTTCAGTGTGACTTTTTGTAGATTACAGTCTCCTCCTTCAGACATGAGTAATATAAAACCAGGGACACAAACACAGAGATACACCTATCTGGCTGAGGAATCGGAGGTTCAGAGTTCAATTCCCCACTGTTGCCTCCTACAAGAAGAGCCAGCCTGTATGGTCTTGGGCAAACTGCAGAGTCCCAGGGCACCCCCAGAAGAAGGGAATAGTTACCCACTTCTGAGTATGCGCTACCTGGAAAATCCTGAAATGTTTCCATAAGTCAGAATTAACTTGACAGCACAGTTTGCCGTCCAAGTGGAAAAATGAAGGGCCACTAACCATTCAAACTCCCTCCCTCAATTCAACAGAAAGCTCCCATCATTTCCAATCCTGCCACGATCCAGGAGGTTGGAGCATGTCTCATCTGCAATCTTCTAATCCTTTCTTCCTCTGTTTCTCAAACAGGACTTTGCTAGAGAACTAGTGCAGGACAAAGACAGGATATTATAAACAAGACTGATTTATCTTCTGTTGCTGGCAGAGGTTTCCAGGATTTTTTCCCCTTGATCCCGCTAAGTAGTTAGCAGATCACAGACAAGCATTAAACTGGTTACAAGCCAAAGGACCAAAGAGTGAAACAAAGCAAATCTGTTGTTGATTAATGCTATTCCCTACTTACTCATAGAACGATCCTTTAAGCAATTTCTTTAAACCACGACCTGGCCGAGACCCAGCTCCACTGCAAGAACAAAGAGCAATAATATTCAAGAGGAAGCGACCATCTAGAGCCCCTCTAGGAGTCTAACCCCCCCTTTCCTCAGTATCTTCATGATGTTAACCCTTAAGCAGAACCTACAAACTAGGCATGAAACATATGAGTGAACATTCATGTACAGTCATCCCTATTTAATCTGGGACTAATCACCACAGAATGCCATAAGATCCCCTCCTTATACGTACATGTTCACTTATACAGTATGAATAAAATATGTCGATTTGGATATTTTCAGCCGACCAATAAAATACCTTTGAAAAGGCACACATTGGATTGCCCCAGAATTATGAATTAGGTTGGAAGAACTCGGCTTCATTGACTCACACGTCTCTCTAAGGCGCCGCTGCCTCGAGGGAGGATGGTCTCCTACCAAACCCCCCCCCCACAGCCCCATTTTGGATTGATCCTGCCCATGTTTCCAGAGCAAGAAGGACACAGAGCGAGGGAGGGAGATCTCCTCTCTTGCCTGGGAACAGAAGAGAGGCGGTGGAGGCTGCCGCTTCCGACTGGGATCCCAACTGACAGACGCGCTACAAACGGAACCCCCACCGCTCGGCCTGGCAAAGGAAGAAGCCGCTGCCTCCTCCCTCCTCCTCCCTCCTCCTCCGCCTCCGTGGCCAGGAGTGCCCAGAATCACCACCGCCCTCGTGCCAGGCAAAGAGGAAATACGTCACGACTCCACCCGGAAGCTGCGCAAATCTGCAAAATCCCCGCCCTGGAAGTCGAAGGTGCCTCGCAGCGCCCTCTAGAGGCTAAAATGAGCGATGTGCAATTAAGGTGGTGGAGGGGAGTAGTCCAGACCCCGCAGATCTTAGTGATGGGTCGGTTCAAACGTGGGTCCATATGACAGTAGGAGGACCGCAGACACCCGGGTTGGATGGGAAAAAGCATATGAATTAAACTTTTTTTATTCTCGTTTCCGCGTTTGAATCAACGAGCTATTAGATTAAAGGCCGATTTTGTTTACAGGTTACTCAGAGGTAAACTCTGGGTGGCCAATTATTGATCCCATCTTTCTAAAAAGGACTGATATGTCACACTTGTTTATAAATTGTGTTGCATTCATATAAGGTTTTAGGCAAGCAACTGAAATATATTACATTTTCAAAGAGGTGGCTATGTTAATCTGTTTCAGTGAAGGAAAGAAAACAAAAACTGAACCTGACATATTTCAGTATCAGCCTTTTACGGATTTCAGTCCAGTTCCCCAGACACTGGAGCAAAGTATTTTGGTCACAGGTATATGTACTTAGTTGTGGCAATTATGTAATCAACATTTCAATACCTATATTTAAAATATAATTTGCTTTCTTACCCTTTTTTCACTTTGTCCCAACCAAAACTTACTGTATGTATCAGAGAAATTAGATTGTAATCCATGAAGTATCATAGAAGTACATTAATAATAAATTACAGTAGGTCATTATTCCCCACCTACAGACATCACCTAGCCTATTTGTCTTCCTTTTTTTCCATCTTGGACTCTGCAATTAATTCAGATTTTATGTTTAGTTTATTTTTTATGCTTTATGTAAACCGCCCAGAGTAAATATATTCTAGATGGGCAGTATACAAGTTTAATAAATAAATAAATAAATAAAATAATATCACATGAGAACCACCTTGCTGGGAGACCAAACATCTATCTAATCTAGTATTGTTATCAGCAAAAGTGCACCACAAAGATGGTTATTTATTTATTTATTTATTGATTGATTGATTGATTGATTGATTTATTGATTTATTGATTTATTGATTGATTGATTTATTGATTGATTGATTTGATTTGATTT